TGGGTGCATATTGGACCACAGTGAAAATTTGAGGACTATTGGACTACTTACACATACTGAATTGCTTCTGCAGAATACTCAGCTACCTGATAATGCTTTGATGTATGATCCCAGGGAAAATCAGTTTCACCTTCTTTCAACCTCTGAAAGGATTAGCCAATTGTATAAAAGATAGTTTTAGACATTAAGGTAAAATCTCCAACTAGTATTATGATCCTGTGCAACATATTTTAGAAGAATTCCCACAGCCACATGGAACTCATACATTTTCTCACAATTGCACTTTGAGAGCCTTAGGGTCAGAATTGCAGTTTGAATGAGATACTTCAATTTTGAGATACTTTTTAGTTTGCACCTCCACTGTGAACTAACTGCTTGACATCATCCTAAACAAAATACACATATACACATACTCAGAATTTGATTACTTGGTTTCTTCTGAACGTGAGGATATCATGATTTATCGTATTTTTTTTCCTTGGAGCTTTTGTGTCTAGTTATATGGATTCTTAGGGATAAAGCAGTGGCTGGAGTTCCTCCAAGTTTGAGAGTGGAGATGCATGAAAGTATAGAGGATGGGCAACATGTAGTCCCTGCTGGAGGCTAGGGTGAAAATATGCTGAGCTCCCACTTGAAGGATTTGGTTTGTGTTTAAAATGAAACCCATATGTATAGTACATCTAAGGTAGCTACTGCTACTGTCATGTTATACTTGGATTCTGCAGAACCTCAGTGGATCTGTTGGTACTGAAGGGTCTCTAAACAAATACCAGAGCACTGGGAACAAGTAATAGAATACAAGGAGAAAGGGTTAGAAAAAACAAAAGACAATGTTGGTTTGCAGGTTTTTTTTTTAAAACAAATCAAGTAGAATTAAATAGACTTATTTGTGAAAGTATCCCCTTATTCATAAAGACACACACCATTCCAGCATCTTTTGCTTATAAAGACAAATAATATATTTCATTTTTTTCTAATATTCTCCAAGTTTTTTTGCAACATAAAAAGATACATATTTTGGAATGTAGACTAAAAGATGTACAATGGAGAACATAGGGAAAACTTGGCTGTTTGCTGTCCCATGCAATTACCAGATGTTTGTCATGGTAACCTCTGAAAAACTCTGACCAGAAAAGCATTCTTAGGAGGCTGGACAGCATGCCAGCTGGCCACGTAAAGCCTGAAATATCCAAAATAATTTTGATCACCACCTGTTGCTACTTAAAAAAAAAAAAAAAGGATAAAGAAGCCTGAAAGAAGAAACCCCCTAAAAGAATACACATAGCATCTATCTATTTATTCTAGGATTTTTTTTCCATTTTTTCCATTGCTGTGATACTTGGAGTTATCTGGAGCTAATAGATTGCATAACAAAGATTCTACTGAACTCTGTGGAAAGTTTAATTAGAATAATTTTTTTTAATGTGTTTTTAGAACGGGATTTTGAGGGGGTGGGGAAGTAGCTAAACTTGTAATAGAACATATATCCTCATATAAAGAAAAAGTTGAACAGGAAAACCATGAAGAGAATAGAATCCAGGGTATGGGTTATTACTGTGGCTGTACTAGCACAAGGAAAGAGGCACTCTCCTATGACTCAGACATTGCTTTATATTGCTGTGGTATAGCAGAGAAAAGATCAGTGAAAGCCTTGGAATACTGTTAGTTTTATGTATCCATTTATAAGTGAAGCAATCGAGTTATTGGTCACAAATACAGAGGAGTCAAATTCTTTTGAAAGGAAGTGGTTTGCAGCATTTTATTAGCAGACTTTTCTGTGAAGCAGAAACACCCCCTTGATGAAGTTATCTTTTACAGCCCCTGAGAATGAGGTCTTAAAGACTTAGAAGTAGTCCAGATGACCAGTGCTTTACTTAAGGAAGAATGCTCATCCTGAAGACACGTTCAGGAAGGACAATGGATATATGAATTTTGTTTATTTTTCTCAGGAGGAAATTTCTTTCATAGGGTTCTGATGTATCTTACAAGTATAAGATTAAAAATAAACTTTTTCTTCAAATTTTCTATTAAAAGGCACTCAGAAGGAAAAGAAAAACCTCCCTGAAATTTGTAAGCAGTGCAACTGGGACTCTGTCTGAGACAAGAAAAACATGATTAAGGCTGATTTTTGGGACAGATTTACTCTACACAATGAATAATATTTGATAGGAGCCTAACTGAGGGCAAAATCTTGCAATGCCACATCTGACCATAAAGGGGAACAACAGACATATCAGGCTTATGTTTTATTTCTCTCTGTCTAGGATATTTGAAAGAAAGATGTCCTCAAAGTTACAATAGTGCCTTTGCTGTTAATCACAGTATTGCATCATGATTGTGGTTGGAAGGCACCTTTGGAAGTCACCTTGTCCATCCACCCTGCTTCAAGCAGAGTCACCTGGAGTCAGTTGCCCAGAATTATGTCCAAATGACTTTTGAATATATCCAAGGAAGGAGACACCATAACCTCCTCTGGCAGCCTGTGCCAGTGCTCATTCACCCTCACAAAAAAGTGGGGAAGTAAACAAATGTCTCCTAGTGTTCATAAAGAACCTCTTGTATTTCAGTTTTTGCCCATTGACTCTTTTCCCATCACTGAGCACCACTGGAAAGAGTCTAGCTCTGTCTTCTTTAGGGTCTTCCTTCAGCTCTCCGATGGCTGATGTCATTGTCAGGCCACTGTCAATTATCTTGGAAAGATCATGATGATCAAGAGAGGTGCCTGAAGACTGAAGGAAAGTAAATGTCACTCCTATCTTCAAAAATGGCATGAAGGAGATCTAAGGGAACTGAGAGACCTTGATCCCTGGAAAGGTGACAGAACAACTAACTCTGGAAACCATTTCCAGCGACTGAGCTCTGGCACAGGTTTCCCAGTGAGGTTGTGGATTTTCACACCTTGAAGATATTCAAAACCCATCCAGACACAGTCATTGGCAACTGACTGTAGGTGAGCAGAGTAGCTGGACAAGATGACCTCCAGAGATGCCTTCCAACCTCAGTCATTATGTGATTTTGTGAAAGCTGCGGCATGTGAAGCATAGGCTGCCCTTCATGTTTTCTTTCAGGTTACTTCCCAAAAAGTAAAGCTTTTTGAAAGTATAAATCAAATATATGTTCTATGATGTGTCCTCCATTACCTAACCTTTGGAGTCATATGTGTTAGAATGCTGGATATGAAAGGAGACTGAGGTAGCTAGTATTCCCCTTTACTGTCAATAGGAAGCTTGAACAGAGGCAGGTTATTCAATAGACCAAATTCACAATGTGGCCATTGCTTATTGAAAGTCTCTGAGTATTCATGAGAGAAAACTGAAGTTGAAAAATGTTTTTACATCTCAGTCACAGTAATTGACTGCCTTTATAAGTTGCTTTTCTTTAACTGTAGTATACTCTTAAATTGGGTTATTTACAGCAGTTTTAGGGTAGAACTAGTTTGACGTGAAAGGTCTGGTTACTGTAAGCTCAAAATGTCTCTTTATATCAGTAGCTTTGTTATACAGAAATTCAACCATACACATACTATAAAGTTTGGAGTTAGGCTCTGTAAAATTTTGTATTTTCACGCATTCAAAAGTATCTCTTTTATGCTTTAGTAAGTAATAGCAGTTGGATCAGTCACAAAGTAATGTTTTTGTTTAATTATGCCTGTTTCACCTGGGTGAATGAAAACAACTTGGCATTTAATGCATTCTTACACATACATGCGTGTCTACAACAGAACAATGTGGGGTAAAAATATAGAGCTTTCTGCATGTAGGTTCAGTCAATTGAATTTACATAGCTTCTGTGCTTTTACTGGCCAGGAAAAAGTGTATATCACAGATGTTGGCAGGAGATTTTAGTATTTCAAATTTGTTCCTGGACCTAGCATATGTTAAAAAAAGAAAAGAATATGTGACAGCTGCATTATAATGAAGTATGTGGATTTGTTTTGTAACAAAAAAGTAGGTTGACAGCATTCATAATAAAGGCAAAAGAAGAACACAGGGTATTATAAGTCTGTTTTATACCTCATGGGTATAAAAAAAAACCTCTGAAATGAGGTCTACATATGTAAATGATAGTTCTGAATGGGGTTGAAACTTGTACTAAAATGTGTTTTAATATTGAAGAAACTCTAAATAGTACTTTTTTCCCCCTTAGTTTTGTATTGACTGCAAAGCTATCACAGTTCTTTACAACCATGTATTTTTTTTAGATGGATATTAATCTTCATCTCATTAAAAACATTTTTATTATTAAATGGTCCAAGTGTGCTCAGCTACCAAAAACCTACTCCACAATGCTTCTTGCAATATTAGCATGAAAAGCAGGAAATTAATTCTTTGTATTAGATTTAAATGCATTCCTTCCTTTAGACTGTATTAATGCAAATAGGTAAGAATTTATTTACAGTTATAGGCTAGATATAGCTAGATTTATCAGTTTGGAATGTCATTTTGATATTGCCTTTCTTGAATTACCATATAAAATAAAACAAAGTTTAAATATCCAGATTTGGTTGTAAAAAAAGCAAGCAATAATTATTTATGTTATGATTCCACATACCATATCTTCATTTGATATAAATTACTTGAGGAAGATTTCTAAATCTTTACAGAGCAGACTTCCACAAGAGCTTCTTCTTAATGCAGGAGTTCAGCTTTCCCTTCTGAGTTGGCTACCTAGGGTATCTTAATGATAGGCATTACAGCTCCTAATTTCTATTTACTGATGATGTTTCTACCTCTGTAAAATAAACAAGGCCAAAGCATGTGTTTGGTCATTGTCCTGGGATAGTTTTGTGTGTTCTTTTTATTTTTAGTCATTAATGTTCTTTAATGTCTTTCAGTTTTTTCAAAACCTACTGCGGAGATATTTAAAACTTAATTTGTGAATTTGCCTTAGTCAATTTGTAGACTAAGGAAAATGGATGAGATTTCAGTGGGATGTCATGAAAATGGCAGTAAAAAATGTAATTTTTACTTAGTGTTAACAACACTGAAATTTCTCTGTAGGTGTGAACGTCGTTTTGAAGGGCACAGTAGCCGCTGCTATCCATGCGGAATTGCAGTATCTCCTTGTGGACGATTTATAGCCAGTGGATCAGATGACAAATATGTAAGTAATGCTTTTGCTTATTTTCCTCCTAAACTATAGGAACTACTCATATTGTATATAAAAGAGTCTTTTTAAGTGTGTTTCTAGGATTCATTTTAATGTGTGAAACTGAGGTCTATGATACTTTCATGTAATTAATTCATATGTAGCAGTTACATATGATTCATGATCTTTTTGTCTGAAAAATCCCTGCACAGCTACATCTTAGTGCTCAAAGTAATTGTTGAAAACTTGTTTCTACAGGTTTTTATAATGCTTGACTCTGAATTGTCATGTGGCATCAAAGATGAGGAGAATGTAGCACATTCCTGTAGCACAGCTTTATCTGTTTTATGCATATCTGACCACTAGGAACCATGTAGCAACTACATATAAATTTAATTAAGCTCCCAAATACAGGGTGGTAAATCTTTTTTCATGGGTTTCTTAGGAACCAGTCAGCTGAATAAAAAATGAGAAGTCATTCAACTGGAATTGGAACTTTCCACACCCTTGGTGTGTGTTTTCTTCCCAGACAGGTTCTCTTTTCAATGTCAACCATCTTTAAATTATTACACTTACGAAAGAATCCTGAGTAAATGTGTATTGCTACGTTTTTGAGTATGCACCTAATTTTAATTCAGTTGTGCCTACATTGTTGGCAGAATGTTTTCCACAGTGTTTGCTAAGAGATAGATGATTGCTAACTTGTACTAAAGGCATTTGAAACCAAAGTTGAATTGGGTTTGTTGCAAACACAACCTTTCAATACAGGTGGGTAGGGAAGTTTTAACTTTCTTCTAGGCATTTCTAGGTGAGTCATCAAAACATGACACTGTTTCTGGTCAAATTCAGAATGAGAGGAATTTACTGTTGTGGCTAGTTTTGAAATACTGGCTCAAATCATGTATGAAGGTTAGAGATTTTGTTGTTAGATTTCTGGATTTCTGGCAACAGGTAGTGTGTTCTTGACATTTCCATGATAAAATATACTTTTCAAGTTTCTTGTAAATTGCATTTCAAAATGCAAATTGCAATACAAAAGAAGGGCTTTTTGTTTTGTCTGTGAAACAAACACATCTAATATTCATCTCGGTTCATAATGTACATGATACAAATATGTTTATTTGAGATTACTAATTAAGGCTGCTTTTGAATTGTATAAAAAGAGGTGCAGTCACAAGACCTGTTCTCTTCTCTTTTGTGTTAAGGTATTTGTTTGGAATTAGTGCTGATACAAAAAAGAAAGACAGCATGATTTTACCCTTACTCCAAAGTCTTGGCACACGGTGGGTCATCAAATAAAGCTGAATAGCTAGAGTGCATCCTGCTCCACTTGGCACACAGTCCCTGGTGGGCACAGTGCCAGCCAATACTTTCTAGTGTGGCTCCTGGGTTAGAATTTTTTGCATAATTTGCATCCTATGTCTGTAGAGAATTTTCATTGTCCTTGTCCCCTTAGGAAAACTGGGTCAAGTTTTGGAATCATGCTTACACTGTACTGTTAGGACAAAATGCAGGTTTTGGGCATTTTTAGGAGGCTTCCTTTTGAAGTGTTGAGACTGAATATACTTTTGTGTTTCCTTTTGAAACAGAAAATTAAATGTGGCATTGAATAGCCCATTCATATTGTTCAATTAAAAACATCCTGACAGATGGGCTAACGTGTAACTGGGACAGTTTTGATAGAATCAAGAAGTCACATAGTTTTGCAGATTGTATGAATGAATGTCCATTGGAATTAAAAAAACATCATAAAAAATCAGCACTGTGGATACAAAGCGCATTCTGGAAATAAGTTATGTAACTTTCCACTGAGCAGTAACTGTATCTTCAATCATCTTGGAATTTACTTTATCAAGTGCAAATCTCGCACTCTGTGGTTAACAAATGTGATTGATTTTAAAGCCAAAAGAGGCATAATTGGAATATAATTGAGAGACATTAATCTTAAACTGCCTTTTATATTTCACAATATCTGAAGTATTTGACAGAGAGAAATATGTTGTCTACATTGATTAATAACAAAATCACATTCCTTCATGTCATAGAAACAGGAAACCAAAATACGTTATTGTAAGATAAAGAGATGAAAATTCTGTCTGCCTTTTTCTCTACTTAGAAAGTGTATAACCTATTTTATATAAGAAGAGCTTGGTTTAGCTTCTGTGTGGGTGAAGTAGCCACTTGGTTTTATTTGAACTGCTTTCGTGTGTGTTAGTGTGAGATTTGTAGAAACTGTAAATTGAGGGTTGAAAGTGTTTCCCTAACTGATTACTCCAACTTCTTTAAGAGAATTTTTATCCAGACCCGTATAGGACCTGATAGTCTGATCAAAGTGGGTAATCAGTATCCTGGTTTTGAACGGTGATTTTCTTTTACTTAATTAATCATGATTAGAAAATATAGAAAGTTAACATTTCTAACATCAGATTTTCTCTTCATTTTGAATAGTCTAAGGTTACAAGTGAAATTGGTTGACTTTTTCTCAACTGAATATACCTAATATTTTAATTTCTAGCCATTTTACAAGGGGACAGTTTAAAGTTTCTGACTATCAAACAACACTATTAAGGATGTTGGACAAATATACTCTAAATTGGGTTTGGATTTCCATTTTGCTGGGCTCTGTACAAAAATGTTTACCTAAACATTTGTTGACTAAAGAAATCTTAGTGTAAAAAACCAAAAAATATCTGGAGAGTGTGAAATGCTACTTTTTATAATAAAAATAACTAATTTTCTTCAGTGCTCCATGTAGTTATAGTTGGGTGTTTTACTTCCTGTCTAATTAGGTTCTTAATTTTTGTCTTTGAAAACCTTAGGGCTCTCTGAATAAATTACAAGTTTCCAGAAATGAAGTAGGGAATGCAGAAATAAATATTTTTGGCTCTTTAATTGTTTTCAGACTTATTCTTTCTAACTCTCTTTGAACTGTAGACTCTAAGAGGCACATTTTGACCGTAGTGCTGAAATGGAATTTTCTGAAATAAAACTCTCTGTCCCTGTCAAATCTCAAAGCCTGGGTTCACAGTTAACATGGATTGACCCATACTACAAACCCAGAAGTTTTTCAGCATAACAGGTTGCTACATCAATAACATCAATAACAAAAATACATGGGTAATATATGACATTGTCTTCCCTTTTATTTACACTTTCCACAAAGTCTAGGATTTTACCCACTGCCTACTGCATTGTCTTTGAAATTTTAAATCCAAGACTAAATTTATACCTTTTAACTGTGAAGGCACCAAAGTTAGAGTAGGAAGATTGTTTCTTCTTACCCAGAGGGCATCAATACCCAAAGGGGTAACAGAAGACAGGATAAAGCAATTTCATGATTATACATAACCTCACTACTTGATCCCCTAATTGTTTTTTTCAAAATTGGTTTTAGAGTAAATTCCCATTATGCAAATGATGCTGGAAAGTGATTCTGGTCAGGGGCATATGCAAAGAGTTCTGCAAACCTGTGAGTGGTGTCTGAATGCAAACCCAGGCCTGATACTGTGTGCAGACTTGGTTGTTTTCTGATATAGGATTCTGCATCAGGCATAACACCAACTGCAGAATTTGTTTACAGTTGACACCTTGATTTTAAATAGCTACAGAGGTTGATATTCCAAATAGAATATCAGTCTTCTTGCGTAATAGAATATCAGTCCTGCTGAGCAATATATTCTAGTGTTTTGCTACCAGAAAAATACATTTGGAAGTTGGGTTGCCAGCACTGTTTTGTTCTGTACATCTTGCACTGCACTACTTCTTAATGTAATCATTTCCATAGACGTTTATGTTATATTTCTTAATTCCCATAAATATAGTATTAGTCACATTGGTCTTTCTGTGGCTCAGTTCTGACTTATGAAATGGAGATTAGCAATGATATGTTTCTTCTCTCCTTTTAGCTTTAAAAGAAGAATTTAAATGTGGCCTATCTCAGTTTGTTATTCCTGCGATTAGTTGATCTGATCTCATTTATATAAAATACTTCCATCCTTGTGTGTCTGTGGTGTGATAAAATTTAAAATTTCATCAGATTAGGTCCAGGATTGCAAAAAATGGTCTAGATATCAAAGAAGAAACACCTCAAGAGTGCCAAAATTTAAATGATAAAATAATGCGGTTGTTTGTTGTCCCTTTGAGACTCCAGTTTGCTAGAACTTTCTGGTATGAATGAATAGAAGGTGAAAGACTACAGATGGGGGAAGAGGCAAGGGGTCGGGAAAGATATTCTGGTATGGATGAATGCAAATGTAAGAGAGAGGATTTGTTAACAACTTAGAATGTTTAGTTCTATATCTCTTAGGAGTGTATCTTGGAGGTATCACTGATGCTTCAATCAGGTGTCTTTGATACAATAGAGTATGCTTTAATATTTGGCTTGAAAACAATAAGAGAAATTTTTTTACTGCTTTACTTGAAAATTACTTTTAGAAATGTGTGATAGTGCTATTATATAGTATTTATTGTTGTGGTCTATGCTTCATACCAGAGGGCTTGCAGAACAGAATGTATTCTATGAGGCAGTAGTAGCAACTATCTGAAGTATTTTGGTTTTCAGTGTCATTGGTATCCCAATTATATATTGCTCAAGTTTTATTTTATGTGTCCAAACTGTTTAACTAAGATAGGCTTTAAGAGAAAACATCTGGAGAAAATACCATTAGTGATGTTTACTGTGGAAAAGGCAGGAATGACATTGTTTGGCAGAACAAAATCCAGAGAATATGACAGCAGAGAATGAATGACAGAGACTGAGACTGCCTCTCTGTCAGCTATTGCTAGAGAAAATCTATCTCTTCCAAAGAAGAACAAAAATTTATGTTACTCTTGAATCTGAGTTTCTTGAATTCTTTGGTAGTGTAGTTGGCCCTTAGGCTGATTGTCCTAGGAATCAAGAGATAAATAGTGCTTTCTTATTAATACAGTCATGATTTTGGGTATGCTGTTACCTCACTACCTCTTTGGGTGTATCTTTGAAGATGACTGAAAATAGTAGCCTTGGTAGATTATTT